TTTTCAGTTGTTGTACTCCAAGGACCCAAGATGCATCAACTGACAAAGTCTGATGATTCTAAGCCAATTAGTACCCGAAATATTAATTAAAGCCATAAATTTTCAAAAATAGGTCAAGGTGACCTACTTTTCAGTTGTTGTACTCTGAGGACCCAAGATACATCTACTGACAAATGATGATTCTAAGCCAATTAGTACCCAAAAATATTAATTAAAGCCATAAATTTTCAAAAGTAGGTCATGGTGACCTACTTTTCAGTCAACCTACTCTGAGGACCCAAGATGCATCACCTGACAAATTTTGACGATTCTAAGCCAAATAGTATCTGAAAATATTAAATACAGCCATAAAATTTAAAAAGTAGGTCATCGTGACCTACTTTTCAGCTGTCATACTCCAAGGACCCAAGATGCATCAGCTGACAAAGTTTGACGATTCTAAGCCAACAAGTACCCAAAATATTTAATTAAAGCCATAAATTTTCAAAAGTAGGTCATGGTGACCTACTTTTCAGTTGACCTACTCTGAAGACCCAAGATGCATCAACTGACAAAGTTTAATGATTCTTAGCCAATAAGTACCTGAAATATTTATTTTAAAGCCATAATTTTTCAAAAGTAGGTCACGGTGACTTACTTTTCAGTCGACTTACTCCGAAGACCCAAGATGCATCAACTGACAAAGTTTGATGATTCTAAGCCAAATAGTGCCTGAAATATTTAATTATAGTCATATAAATTGGAAAGTAGATCACAGTGACCTACTTTTCAGTTGACATTTTTTGAAGACCCAAGATGCATCAACTTACAAAGTTTTATTACCATAGGCCTTAAAATGTCCAAATAATGCCTCTAAAACGCTTTAAAATCGAATGCCTGCAAAGTTCAAAAAGTAGGTCACTGTGACCTACTTTTTAATAAATATGTTTTATGGTCCCAAGTTGCATCATCTTACAAGATTTAATGATTTTAAACCTCACTGTATTCAAATTAATGTCCTTAATTGTTTTGAAAAAGATTAGCCATAAAGTTCAGAAAGTAGGTCAAGGTGACCTACTTTTTAGTTGACTTACTTTGTGGACCCAAGATACATCAACTGACAAACTTTGATGATCACAGGCCTTGAATTGTTCAAAATATGCCTCAAAATCATTTTGAAAAAGAATGGCTGCAAAATTTAAAAAGTAGGTCACCATGACTTACTTTTGAGTCAATGTGATATGAGGTCCTTAGATGCATCAACTGACAAGATTTGATGATCCTAGTCCTTATAGTAAGCAAAATATCAACATTTTAATATAATGTAATTTTTGGTCAACTTTGAAGTGACCTTGAGACCACGCCCTTTGCCCCAGGGTGATGCCTTGAACAATTTTTTTATCTACAACATATCCTCATCCTTTTGTGGAAGTTTGGTGATAATCTGCCCAGTGGTTCTTGAGAAGATTTTTTAGCAACCAGTACTTTTGTTTCTATTTTCCTAATTATCTCCCCTTGTTAAGTGGGTCACAACCGTTGTTTTAGTAAAAACTGGAGCCCTTGGGTGGAGGATACCCTGTGACAAATTTGACAATAATTGGCCAAGGGGTTCTTGAGTTATGGCCAATATTCTAAAAAGTTTACGCACACCACACAAATGGCCATAGCATTAGCTCTTTGAGTTTTGGCTCAGAAGAGCTAAAAAAATAAAAGCATAATCTAACAAGAGGCCCATGGGCCACATCGCTCACCTGAGTAACTTTGGCCATGCTGTTCTTTACCAGATTTCCCCCCTTCTAATACTGATTGTGGCCCCGCCCTACCCACGGGGGTCATGATTTTAACAATTAAAAATTTACACTATCCCAGGATGCTTCCACATAAGTTTCAGCTTTTCTGGCCCAGTTGTTCTTGAGAAGAAGATTTTTCTTACATATTTCAATGTAAAATTGGATTCCCTATTGTCTCCACGCCCTACCCCGGGGGTCATGATTTTTACAATTTAGTATCTACACTACCCCAGGATGCTTCCACATAAGTTTCAGTTTTTCTGGCCCAGTTGTGCTTGAGAAGAAGATTTTTCAAGATTTTTCTTACATATTTCAATGTAAAATTGGATTCCCTATTGTGGCCCCGCCCTACCCCGGGGGGTCATGATTTTTACAATTTAGTATCTACACTACCCCAGGATGCTTCCACATAAGTTTCAGTTTTTCTGGCCAAGTTGTGCTTGAGAAGAAGATTTTTCAAGATTTTTCTTACATATTTCAATGTAAAATTGGATTCCCTATTGTGGCCCCGCCCTTCCCCTGGGGGTCATGATTTTAACAATTTAGCATCTACACTACCCCAGGATGCTTCCACATAAGTTTCAGTTTTTCTGGCCCAGTTGTTCTTGAGAAGAAGATTTTTCAAGATTTTTCTTACATATTTCAATGTAAAACTTGGATTCCCTATTGTGGCCCCGCCCTACCCCCGGGGGTTATGATTTGAACAATTTAGAATCTACACTACCCCAGGATACTTTCACATAAGTTTCAACTTTTCTTGCCTAATGGTTCTTGAGAAGAAGATTTTTAAAGATTTTTCTTATATATTTCAATGTAAAACTTGGATTCCCTATTGTGGCCCCGCCCTACACTCGGGGGTCATAATTTTGACAATTTAGAATCTCCATTACCCCAGGATGCTTCCACATAAGTTTCAGCTTTTCTGGCCCAGTTGTTCTTGAGAAGAAGATTTTAAAAGATTTTTCCTATTTATTTCAATGTAAAACTTGGATTCCCTATTATGGCCCCGCCCTATCCCAGGGGGTCATGATTTGAACAATTTAGAATCTCCACTACCCCAGGATACTTCCACATAAGTTTCAACTTTTCTGGCCCAGTGGTTCTTGAGAAGAAGATTTTTAAAATTTTTCCTATATATTTCAATGTAAAACTTGGATTCCCTATTGTGGCCCCGCCCTACCCCCGGGGGTCATGATTTGAACAATTTAGAATCTACACTACCCCAGGATACTTTCACATAAGTTTCAGCTTTTCTTGCCTAATGGTTCTTGAGAAGAAGATTTTTAAAGATTTTTCTTATATATTTCAATGTAAAACTTGGATTCCCTATTGTGGCCCCGCCCTACCCCCGGGGGTCATGATTTGAACAATTTAGAATCTACACTACCCCAGGATACTTTCACATAAGTTTCAGCTTTTCTTGCCTAATGGTTCTTGAGAAGAAGATTTTTAAAGATTTTTCTTATATATTTCAATGTAAAACTTGGATTCCCTATTGTGGCCCCACCCTACCCCCGGGGGTCATGATTTGAACAATTTAAAATCTCCACTACCCCAGGATGCTTCCACATAAGTTTCAGCTTTTCTGGCCAAGTAGTTCTTGAGAAGAAGATTTTTAAAAAAATTTCCTATTTATTTCAATGTAAAACTTGGATCCCCTATTGTGGCCCCGCCCTTCCCCCGGGGGTCATGATTTTAACAATTTAGAATCTCCACTACACCATGATGCTTCCACATAAGTTTCAGCTTTTCTGGCCAAGTGGTTCTTGAGAAGAAGATTTTTAAAGATTTTTCCTATATATTTCAATGTAAAACTTGGATTCCCTATTGTGGCCCCGCCCTATCCCCGGGGGTCGTGATTTTAACATTTTAAAATCTAGACTATCCCAGGATGCTTCCACATAAGTTTCAGCTTTTTTGGCCCAGTGGTTCTTGAGAAGAAGATTTTTAAAGATTTTTCCTGTATATTTCAATGTAAAACTTGGATTCCCTATTGTGGCCCCGCCCTACCTCCGGGGGTCATGATTTTAACAATTTAAAATCTACTGTGGCCCCGCCCTACCTCCAGGGGTCATGATTTTAACAATTTAAAATCTACACTATCCCAGGATGCTTCCACATAAGTTCCAGCTTTTTTGGCCCAGTGGTTCTTGAGAAGAAGATTTTTTAATGACCCCACCCTATTTTAGTCTTTTTTTGATTATCTCCCCTTGTAAGGGGACTTGGCCCTTTATTTTAACAATTTAGACTCCCCTTCAGCCAAGGATACTTTGTATCAAATTTGGTTAAAATTGGCCCAGTGGTTCTTGAGAAGAAGTTGAAAATGTGAAAAGTTTACAGACGAACGGATGGACAGACAGATGGACGGACGGACGACGGACGATCAGAAAAGCTCATTGAGCTTTCAGCTCAGGTGAGCTAAAAAAGAAACCTAAGAATAACAAAATTTTTAAAATTCAGATGGTTTGCTATCAATAGTTTTTTCAGCAATTGCAACAAGTGTATACCCTATAAGAAAAATAATTATACATCACTCAGATGAAAGTAGATTACTCTAAGTACATTTCTAAACAATATCTAAACTATATATTTTTCACTCAAGAATTAGAAACACACAACAAGAGCATCAGTTGTAACAAGTCTATAGGCACATACCCTGTAGAAAAATATTTCACTCAGATGCAAGTAGATTATGTGCATTTCAATAACAACATCTAAGCTATACACATATCACTAAAGTGAGTATTCATAAAAACACACGAGGCCTATGGACTATGACACTAACCTGATTTACAATTTCCTAAAAAAATGTGTGAATGAAGCTTTCTTGGTTAAACTTATTGTAATAGAGATTTTAAAGTGATCATGTGCAAAATTGTTTTCTCTACTTTGGTCATATTCTAGCCCCGAGGTGGACATATGTGAATGCTTCATATCATTCTCCCAACTGTGTACTTCGTAAAAAAAAAAAAGAAAGAGAAAAAAGGACAACAAAGTGGGCTAAGCAATACCAGATTGCAAAAAATACACCCACAAAGTAATAAATAAATTAGAGACCTTGTAAAGATAGATTGTACACTTGTAAAAAAAATAGCTTCACATATAATGCTACAATAAAAAGAATTATCTAAATATGGTAAAGCCCTCATCACAACCTATATAGAAATATTAACCATTCTACAATACAGTGAAATCTAAATGATTTTCAAAAAGTTATCAAACAATAAAAAAAAGATTTACACTTTGATGAACCAGTATCCCCTACAATTAAAGGATTCATCATGTTAATTAGTACATGATCATTGTGGGCCATCACACTCAGCAGTTCTTGCATGCCTCAGTAACTCTTGGTTTTTTTTGGTCAACACACTAAGCAGTTCTCGCATACCTCAATAACTCTCTGGGCAATGCTCACAGCTTTCTCGACTTGCACCTTGGTAAACCTGTCTCCAGGTAACTGTCCATCAGAAGGGTATCTCATTGTGGTGTGGAGATTGGTGATATTACTAGCAAACTCATTCACTGGGTCACGAGCTGAGGCAAGAGAGGGAGAAGCCGAGGCAAGCAAGGACAAGTCATGGGTAGTCCTATAGAGGTTGGCAATGTTGGCATCCTGACCATACAATACAGCCTTCAGTGCCTTCTCACAAGACTAAAACAAAAAAAATATTCCCTTATAAAAACAATAGAGGTGTCCAAATAAAAAGATTTTGCTTGATTCTACTCAACCTACTGAATGTAATTAATCAAAATTTTGGCCATAACTTTTATAAGTGCAGAAAATTATGTGAAATTTTTTAAAGATATACAATCATGTATTTATTCATAAACAGCAATGTGGTGTTTTATGCTGACCTCAATTATGGAATGGACATATGGCCTCTATTAAATCAAACTGAGACCAATATCAGGATTTAAGTAAAACCTGACAGGTTATTATATTTTCAGCTACTTCACTCTTATTGAAATAACTTGTTTTGAAATATGGATTATTCTAAAATCAAACTATATCCCAAGTGTCTTTTTTTCCATTATCTTTAAAACAAGAGATCCCATTGGCCACAAAGCTCACCGGAGTAACTATGACCGTTCTTGTTCTTCACCATCAGATTCGGTATATTCCCATGTAAAACTTCATCACCATTGTGCCCCCACCCTACACCCCTGGGGGACATGAAGAGGCCATGGCCATTCATGTGAACAGCTGAGTCACTTTGGCCCTCCCATTCTTCCTCGGCAGATTTTTTCCCCTATATATTTCTATGTAAAAGTAAGATCACAAAATGTGTCCAATCCTACCCAATCCTCCTCCCAAAGAATGATGCTTTAAAAAAATTTGAATCTATAATTATTTATTTAACTGAGGATGCTTCCATGTCAATAAAACCAATTTTGCCTTTGCTGTTCTTGAAAAGATTTTTCCTTTACATTCTATGTTAAACTTGGATTGCCCATTGAAACCCCACCATTCCCCCAGGGATCATGATTTGAACAAACTTGAATCTTCACTACCAGTCTGAGAGGAAATTTCCATAAAAATATTACTAATCATGACTGTGCTGTTTTTGAGTAGATTTTTTTTCTAAATATTCCTATAGGCAAGACTCTGATTGTCCAATGTGGCCCCATCCTACCCCTGGGGGTTATGACTTGAACAAACTTGAATCTAAACTACATGAGGATGCTTCCATATAAATATGCTTCAATACAAGTATGACTTATTATTGACTTCTTGTTCCTAAGAAGAAGACTTTAAAAGATGTTTCTTCTATTTTCCAATGTAAAACTTAAAGTGGCCCCATCATACTCCCTGAGGATCAGGATTTGAACAAACTTGAATATACACTACCCAAGAATGCTTCCATGTAAATATGACTAAACATAACTTGCTGTTTTTGAAAAAAAAAAGACGGATGTTTACTTTATATGCCCATATAAATCTTTGATTGCTCATAGTGGTTCCACCTTTACCCCCAGGGGGGACATGATTTTAACAAACTTGAACCTATTTTATGTCTGGAAGCTTTTAAATAAGTTTATTTTTTTCTGGCCCAGCTGTTCTTGAGAAGATTTTTAAATGACCCACCAATCTTTACTTTTCCTTAATTATCTCTCCTTGAAGGAGTGAGGCCCTTCATTTGAACAAACTTAAATCCCTTTTCTTTACCTATGGATTGTAAGTGCCTAGCTGAAATAGGCCCAGTGGTTCTGGAGAAGATGAAAATGAAAAATTTTGATTAGAAAAGCTCACTTGAGCCTCTGCTCAGGTGAGCTATGTACACACTGTCTTTGAATAATGTAAATAAACTATATAAAAAAGCGAATTCTGAATCCAAATTAACGAAAACTTTTGGGATAAATCTGAGCAAACTAGCAATGATATACATGTAAATGTAGTGTGCTGCTGTTATTGAAATCTTTAAATCTAGTGACCTTTCCATTTAAAGCTGAACACACTTCATAAAAGGAATTTGTCTGCCATATTCGATTATTCACTCGCTATATATCTGAAGGCCCCTATATAAAGCCACTCACTTAGTCACTGTTCAGTGTAATCAGTCGTCACTGATGTAGATGGACACATGCTACACAGCACTCACTTTTGAAAAAAGATTAGCTTTAAAATTTAACAAGAGGCCCATGGGCCACATCGCTCACCTGAGCACATTGTCTAGGAAAAAAAGCAAAAATCAGTACAGTATTGAAAAGTTTACAGGGAGGGGGGGGGGGGGTGTTGAATTTTAAACTACCTGATGATGCTTTCATATCAATATAACAAATGGCTTTGTTGTTCTTGAGCAGCAGATTTTTTTCCCATATATTCATTTGTAAAAATTTGATCCCCCATTGTGGCCCCACCCTACCCCCGGGGCCCTCATTTGAACAAATTTCATACTACACTACCCAAACATGCCTCCATATCAATTTGACTAATCATGGCTTTTCTGTTCTTGAGAAAAAGACTTTTTCCTATATATTCCTCTGTAAACTTTGATCACCCATTGTGGCCCCAACCTATCCCCGGGGTTATGATTTGAACAAACTTGAATCTTCACTATCTGAGGATGCTTCCATATAAATATGACCAATCATGGCTTTACTGTTCTTAAGAAGAAGATTTTTAACGATATTTTCCTATATATTTCTATGTAAAACTTTGATCCCTCATTGTGGCCCCACCCTACCCCTGGGGGTTATGATTTGAACAAAATTGAATCTTCACTACCTGAGGATGCTTCCATATAAATATGACCAATCATGGCTTTACTATTTTTAAGAAGAAGATTTTTAGAGATATTTTCCTATATATTTCTATGTAAAACTTGGATCCCCCATTGTGGCCCCACCCTACCCCCAGGGGTCATGATTTGAACAAAGTTGAATCTACACTACGTGAGGATGCTTCCATATAAATATGACCAATCATGCCTTTGCTGTTCTTAAGAAGAAGATTTTTAAAGATATTTTCCTTTATATTTCTATGTAAAACTTTGATCCCCATTGTGGACCCACCCTACCCCCTAGGGTCATGATTTGAACAAACTTGAATCTACACTACCTGAGGATGCTTCCATAAAAATATGACCAATCATGGCTTTGCTGTTCTTAAGAGGAGGATTTTTAAAGATATTTTCCTATATATTTCTATGTAAAACATGGATCTCCCATTGTGGCCCCACCCTACCCCCAGTGGTCATGATTTGAACAAACTTGAATCTACTCTACCTGAGGATGCTTCCATATAAATATGACCAATCATGCCTTTGCTGTTCTTAAGAAGAAGATTTTTAAAGATATTTTTCTTTATATTTCTATGTAAAACTTTGATCCCCATTGTGGACCCACCCTACCCCCTAGGGTCATGATTTGAACAAACTTGAATCTACACTACCTGAGGATGCTTCCATAAAATATGACCAATCATGGCTTTGCTGTTCTTAAGAGGAGGATTTTTAAAGATATTTTCCTATATATTTCTATGTAAAACATGGATCTCCCATTGTGGCCCCACCCTACCCCCAGTGGTCATGATTTGAACAAACTTGAATCTACTCTACCTGAGGATGCTTCCATATAAATATGACCAATCTTGGCTTTACTGTTCTTAAGAAGAAGATTTTTAAAGATATTTTTCTTTATATTTTTATGTAAAACTTGGATCCCCCACTGTGGCCCCACCCTACCCCCGGGGGTCATGATTTGAACGAACTTGAATCTACACTACCTGAGGATGCTTCCATATAAATATGACCAATCTTGGCTTTACTGTTCTTAAGAAGATTTTTAAAGATATTTTCCTATATATTTCTATGTAAAACTTGGATCCCCTATTGTGGCCCCTCCCTACCCCCGGGGGTCATGATTTGAACAAACTTGAATCTACACTACCTGAGGATGTTTCCACATAAGTTTCATCTTTCCTGGCCCAGTGGTTCTTGAGAAGAAGATTTTTAAATGATGCCATTATTTTTTCACTTATTCCTAATTATCTCCCCTTGAAAGAGGGCGTGGCTCTTCATTTGAACAAACTTGAATCCCTTTTACCCAAGGATGCTTTATGGCAAGTTTGGTTGAATTTGGCCCAGTGGTTCTTGAGAAGAAGATGAAAATGTGAAAAGTTTACGACGACGCCAACGATGACGACGACAGACAACGGACAAATTTTGATAAGAGAAGCTCACCTGAGCCTTTGGCTCAGGTGAGCTAAAAAGTAGGTCAAGGTGACCTACTTTTTTAGTTGACGTACTCCGAGGACCCAAGATACATCAACTGACAAAGCTTGATGATCACAGGCCTTGAATTATTCAAAATATGCCTCTAAATCATTTTGAAAAAGAATGGCCACAAAATTCAAAAAGTATGTCACCATGACCTACTTTTGAGTCAACATGATATGAGGTCATTAGATGCATCAACTGACAAGATTTGATGATCCTAGTCCTTATAGTAAGCAAAAAATCAACATTTTAATAAACTGTAATTTTTGGTCAACTTTTAAGTGACCTTGAGACCACGCCCTTTGTCCCAGGGTAATGCCTTGAACAATTTTTAATCTACAACATATCTACATCCTTTTTTTGTAAGTTTGGTGTTGATCTGCCCAGTGGTTCTTGAGAAGAAGATTTTTTTAGCAACCAGTACTTTTGGTTTTGTTTACCTAATTATCTCCCCTTGTTTAAGGGTCACAACCCTAGTTTTAGTATAAATGGGAGCCCTTGGGCCAAGGATACCCTGTGACAAATTTGACAATAATTGGCCAAGGGGTTCTTGTTCAAGTTTATGCACATCACACAAATGGCATAGCATTAGCTCTTTAGCTAAAAACAATCAAATCAGGAAAAAGAACATGGTTGAAAAATGTCAGACATTTTATACAATATGCCCAAGGGCCTTGAATCGCTCTTCTGATAAACTGTACAACCTATCACTTCTATTTGAAGCCTCTAAGTATCCTGTATATTTAGATAAAGCCTTGAAATTCCAAAGGTAGGTCATCATGACCTACATTTTAGATGAAACACTCTGAGAACCCAAGATGATTCTAAGCCAATTAGTACCTGAGAGTAGGTCATGGTGACCTACTTATCACTTGTCATTCTCTGAGGACCCAAGATGCATCAAATAAGTTTGATGATTCTAAGCCAATTAATA